AATGCTACACTGTCTTGTGGATGGTTACTTGTTGAGGCCACACATCCGTCCATTGTGCGACTCTGGTGTCTGTCTTTTTAGCATGAATTTACCACTATTGATGTGCGTTTTAGGACGGGCAGCGAGCAGGGGACGGGGCAGGAATCAGACCTGACCCTCGTTGCCATGTCTGAAACTCATAGCAGAAATTTACAACATAAAATATGTCGAGAATTGATCCCCAACCTCTTAACTACAGATTCAAGCAGTTACACAGTCTATCACACACAGAGCCTACACACAGCACCTACACACAGAGAATACATACAGCACATACACACAGAGCCTATACACAGCACCTACACACAGCACCTACACACAGAGCCTACACACAGCACCTACACACAGAGCCTTCACATAGCACCTCCGTAGAGCACCTACACACAGAGTCTACACACAGCACCTACACACAGCACCTACACACAGAGCCTACATACAGCGCCTACACACAGCATCTACATACAGCACCTACACACAGCACCCGCATACAGCACCTACACACAGCGCCTACACACAGCGCTACACACAACACCTACATACAGCACCTACACAGAGCACCCACACACAGCGCTTACACACAGCACCTACACAAAGCACCTACGCACAGAGCCTACACACAGCACCAAGACACAGCACCAACACACAGAGCCTTCACACAGTACCTACATACAGCACCTACACACACAGCACCTATACACAGCACCTACACACAGCACCTACACACAGAGCCTACACACAGCACCTACACAGAGTACCTACACACAGAGCCTACACACAGCACCTACACAGAGCACCTACACACAGAGCAAACACACAGAGCAAACACACAGCACCTACACACAGAGCCTACACACAGCACCTACACTCAGACCCTACACACAGCCCCTACATACAGCACCTACACACAGAGCCTACATACAGCACCTACACACAGAGCCTACACACAGAGCCTACACACAGCACCTACTCACAGACCCTGCACACAGCACCTACATACAGCACCTACAAACAGCACCAACCACAGCGCCTACACACAGCACCTACATACAGCATCTACACAGAGCACCCACACACAGCACCTACATACAGAGAATACATACAGCACCTTCACAGAGCACCTGCACACAGAGCCTACACACAGCACCTACGCACATCACCTACACACAACACCTACACACACAGCCTAAACACAGCACCTGCATACACAGAGCCTACACACAGCACCTACACATAGCACTTACACACAGAGCCTACATACAGCACCTACATACAGCACCTACACACAGAGCCAATACACAGCACCTTCACACAGCATCTACATACAGCACTTACACAGAGCACCCACACAGACCCTACACTCAGCGCTTACATACAACACCTACACAGAGCGCCTACACACAGCACTTACATACAGCACCTAAACAGAGCACCTACACAGAGCACCTACACAGGGCTTTTACATACAGCACCTACACAGAGCACCTACACACATACCCTACACACAGCGCTCACACACGGTATATAACTTTACTATTTGCTAAGGACTTTTTTTGATACTGTACACAACGGTACAGAGTACTGGCACCTTTTTTTTTTTCAAACCTTACAAAAACATTTACCGTTATTGTGTGAGGCGGAGCGTGTCCAGATAATAAAAGGAGGAGCGGCCCATGACAGGGTACGCCACAAATACACTACCGAATGTAAGACACTCTGACGAAAGTGCACAAAGTAGTGTATACATATATTACATTCATTATGTAACAGGGTTGCGTGGCTGAACGAAAACTTTGCCCAGCTGTGCTTATTACAAATCATTCTTAGGGGAAAAGTCTGCAGTCTGAGATCAAGAAGTGAACGTCGATGATCAGAATACTGAAGTGAGGGACGATATTATAATGTGGAAGAAGAATTCTTTATTCACAGTGGATCGACCAGTCTGGATATGTATCGTCAGTTTCTCTAATAATTATTGCCTTGTGTTAATGTGACAGTCTGTCGCTATACAGATTGAATTAAAGTGAAAGACTTATGCTTAGTTATTCGACAGTCGTCCACCAAATGTTCTCATTTAAATGTAAATAGAACGTATGTTCATTGACAGTTTCACGTGTGCGGCTCAGGAGCAGGCCTACCTGCCAGCAGTCAGTGCCAACACATACAGTGCGACCACAGACAGTGCCACTCCTGGCAGTGCCACAACAGACAGTACCACTACGGACAGTGCCACCACAGACAGTGCCACCCCACACAGTGTGCTGGAGTCAGCAGCAACCTAGGCTAGAGTCAGCAGCAACCTAGGCTAGAGTCAGCAACAACCTAGGCTAGAGTCAGCAACAACCTAGGCTACAGTCACCAACAACCTAGGCTGGAGTCACCAACAACCTAGGCTAGAGTCAGCAACAACCTAGGCTGGAGTCAGCACCGATCTAGGCCATTAGAGGTCATTAGAGGTCATTAGAGGTCATTCGATCTTTGGCGTGTGCCAGATGGAATATTCAAAGAAAGTTAGTAATTTTTGTAAACTCATACACACATACATACATACATACATACATACATACATACATACATACATACATACATACATACATACATACATACATACATACATACATACATACATACATACATACATACATACATACATACATACATACATACATACATACATACATACATACATACATACATACATACATACATACATACATACATACATACATACATACATACATACATACATACATACATACATACATACATACATACATACATACATACATACATACATACATACATACATACATACATACATACATACATACATACATACATACATACATACATACATACATACATACATACATACATACATACATACATACATACATACATACATACATACATACATACATACATACATACATACATACATACATACATACATACATACATACATACATACATACATACATACATACATACATACATACATACATACATACATACATACATACATACATACATACATACATACATACATACATACATACATACATACATACATACATACATACATACATACATACATACATACATACATACATACATACATACATACATACATACATACATACATACATACATACATACATACATACATACATACATACATACATACATACATACATACATACATACATACATACATACATACATACATACATACATACATACATACATACATACATACATACATACATACATACATACATACATACATACATACATACATACATACATACATACATACATACATACATACATACATACATACATACATACATACATACATACATACATACATACATACATACATACATACATACATACATACATACATACATACATACATACATACTACATACATACATACATACATACATACATACATACATACATACATACATACATACATACATACATACAT